ATCATCATCATCAGGATCAGCATGAGCATGCTTTTCACCATCATTATCATCATCATTACTACGATTTGTTTCCTCCCCGGGGCGAGCGAGCATTTCGGTGCGCCCCACGCGAGGCTTAGTACAAATTTGTCGCCGACAGTCGTCTTCCGCGTCTTCGTCTTCCATGGCCAGCGTCCACAGGGCGGAGTCCCCTTCCCACCAGCAGGGAAGCCAGCAGTCTCACGCATTGCGAAGTGTCGCGCGCTCCTGCTGCTATTGCTCGGGTTGCCTCCTCGCTGTTGGCCTCCTTCCCGCCCTCGAAGACGCCCCTGTTCAAAGTAGACCCGTCGCTGCGGTGCACACATTGCGTGAAGATGCTGGCGTTCAGAGGCGCACTTTGCTCCGCAAAGGCTCAGCAGCATCAGTAGCAAAGCCCGCCGCCCTTCCCTATCCTCCCCATCGCCCCCCCCTCCTGCCTGCATCCCCCCAGGGAGAAACTGGTCTCGGGGTGCGGCAGGGGGGAGCTATCTCTGAGCAGAATGAATGGAGGAGGACGAGGAGGAGGAGGAGGAGGAGGAGGAGGAGGAGGAGGAGGAGGAGGGGGGGGGGGGGGAGAAAGGCGCGCCTTCTGCACCCCAAAGTGGGGCGCCCCCCTTGAGGGGGCCCCCCCTGTGGCCCAGAAGGGGCACGAGGGGGGCGCACGCTCCCCCGCCTCCCCCCCCCCCACACAAAAAAAAGTTATCGCCCCCCCCCCTCCCCCCCCCTATCGCTATCGCTATCGGCTCGATGTCCTGTCGGACGCAGCCGTCCGCGCGGCCGGGGCTACACGCGCGCGCCCGAAGCGCGTAGGGGGGGCCACCCCCCGACACAGACCCCCGCCAGGAGGACAAGGGGAAAGCCGCCAAGGCTTCGCAAGGGGAGGGGCGGGGGCCGAAAAGGGCCGAGAAAAATTTGGGGGGGGGGGGCTCCCGGAGGCCAAGACAGCCCGCTGCACTTAAGGGGCCCTTAAGTGCAGCGGATCTGCTCCTCCTTCGGGGGGGTCCCCGGAGGCCAAGACAGCCCGCTGCACTTAAGGGGCCTTTAAGTGCAGCGGATCTGCTCCTCCTTCGGGGGGGCTCCCGGAGAGGCCGCATGGGGGTGGCAAGATGGAGCAGGAGGAGGGGGCTCATTAAAGGCCTGATGAGGAAGGGAAACCACCCCCATGACGGCCTGCACGCAGGCGGCGGCAGGTCGGTCAGGCCTTAACCGTGTCCTCCCCCCCCTCGCCCTCGAGGGGGCGTCCAGGATGGGGTTGGCGGCCACCTTGAGCGCTACGGCCATCTTGCCGTGGTGGGCGTCTGTCTCGACCGTCATGGGCCATGTTACGGCCAGCTCGGGTCGTCGGATCAGCAGGCTGCCGTCCGACCTCATGCTGGGGCAGACTGCCCAAAATGGAGGTTACGAAATCGTCGAGGGGATTGCCGTATTCCTGGGAGAGGCCGTAGTAGATGGCGTAGAGGCTGCTGGTGTCGTCTACCATGGTCGGTCGTCTCATAGCGAGATTCTCCGTAGCGTATAACATCAGCTCAGTACTCCACATCACTGACGGACCTGCTGGGGCTGCAGATTGCGCTAGTAGTGCTGGTACTTCGGCAGCGTGGGCAGCATGGAAGGTGTGGATGGCGAGGCGGGCGTGGTGGTTCGCGATCAGTCGACGTTCGGCTGCCTCACCTCCAAGGTTTACTCTGCCCCAAGGGTCCGTGGTTGTTCTGGAAGATGCTGCCTTTCTGTCGTGCGGGTCGCCATCGACTTGGTCGATCCAAGTGCTGGGTGAGAGGTTGATCATCACTCCCGCGAAGTCGCCTTGTCGAATGTGCTGGTGGATCGAGTCGAGGGCGTCGTACTGGGATGGGTGATCGACAGAGTAGATATCGAAGGTCATAGTAACCCGTTCCATCGCCATTCCATTGTAGCATAGTCGTTGGTCCGTGATGTCGAGCAGATCGTTCGGGTGTCTATCGGTGTTGGTGAGGTAAAGCAGAGATCTGTTTCTGGTCGGTGTCCGAGGGTAGTGGGCTGGTGGTGGTGGTGTAAGCGCTGGTACAGTCGGGAAGAATGGCGGTGGTGAAGGTGATAGGTCAAGGGCGGGTAAGGGAGTGACGTCGGATGCATGGGCAGGGATAGGGTGGTATAGTTCAGGGCGGCCTCTGCGTTTGTTGTCGACTATGCTGGCCGCGTAGATCGCCTGATTGGTGGCCACGTCCTCCTCCGTGAGGGCAGGTCCTTGTAAGTACCACGTGTGCCATGACCGTCGGCAGCGGGCGACCGTGGTTAGATGCTTCACTAGCTTGGCGAAGGAGTGGAAGTTCTGGCGGCATATTCTGCACGATGTACCCGATGCCCAGTTTCGCGGATGATCAGGTCGTCGGTGTTCACGTCCGATATGTATTGCCATGCCCTGCTTGGTCTTGGTTACGATTCCACACTCGTAGCAGATGAAGTTGCTGGCGCCGTTGTCGCGTGATGGTGTGGTGCCCGCACCAATGGGGCCGTCGGGTCTGAACACCTTGGTCAGCTTGTCGGCGTGGGCGTGGTCTTTGGAGGCGCGGATGTAGTTTGTGACGGCCAGGTTGACGGAGTTGGTGAAGTGCTTCGGCGTGGTGCGAGCCCATGCAAAAACGTCGGGGTCGAGCTTGCTGGTCGTGGGCCAGCGCTGGTCGTCCAGGTATGTACGCAGGAAGTCGAAGTCCTGGAAAAGCATGTATGTCCATGAGCCCTTTCTCCGTCGCTGGTTGTCAAGCAGTTGGAGGAGCTGCTGAGGAGCGTGTCGTAGAAGCCGTGGTAAGTATCGCAGCCGTCCAGCAGACTGGTGGTGGTCGAAGTCGGGGATGCCGGTGTAAGCTACTACTTCGGTGGCCGTGAAATGATGAAGCTGCGAGTTAGCTTTAGGTAATCCAGCTGCCGTGCGATAGGGCTTCGAGTAGGCATTGGAGATGCGCTGGTGGTCAGTCTGGGTCAGTGTTGGCCAGACGTGATGGTTGAAGGTCAATGAGGCGGTCGAGAGGGCGTGCACGTACTTGATCTTCGTTTTGCGGGGTAGGCGTCGACGTCTTAGGATTTGCCTCTCAAGAGCTCGTGCCGAAGCGTCGGTTCGTCGCATGCGATTCTGCACCTCGGGGCCCATGCTGCCGTTGGTTAGGATGGTGCCTAAAAGTCGGTGCTGGTCTGTGATCTGGACCGAGATCGACATGATGCTCAGCTGGATTGATGTAATGTTCTGCTGTGCAATCCTGCTGCGTGCGACGTTGGAGCCCGTCCCGTTAAAGGAGATGATGACCTTGGTCTTGTCTGGGTGTGGCTTGAGCCCGTAGGTAAAGGCTGTACGGCATAGACGTTCGGCTGAAGTTCTTGTAATGTCAATGATGTCGGAGTGGCGGGTGGTCGAGTTGAAGTCGGTGAGGTCGTCGACGAAGGACATGTTGGTCAGCTTGCCGCCTTGATGAGGGGCCGTAGAGAAGAGCGGGTTGTCGCAGGGGCGGATGTGGTGGCCGCTCTCACCGTCTTCTGCCCCTTCAGCGTCGTCGGCGATGGCCTGAAGCACTAGGGAGAAATGCATGTTGAAAGCCGCGTCGGAGTATGGCACCCCTGGCCTGGTACTGGTGCGAGGGATCACGTATGCGTCGGTGCCCTTGGCGGTCATCCAGTTGGCCGTGTGGTGGTCGGCAACGAGGGCGCAGAGGTGAGAGTCGTCGACGTGGGCGTTGAGATGTGCTGGACAGCGAAGACGTTGTCGTAGGGAGGGGAGGAGGCATATGGGAATCTCGATGTTGTCGATGACGTCTTCGAGCTCGTCCTCCTGTGTCGGCAGCTGGAAAATGAACTCCCTTATTACCGAATGGAAGGCTTCTTTCAAGTCCAGGAAGAGGATGCTGCCCGTGCGAGCCTGCGTACGGCAGTCGTCCAAGAAGGTGTAGGCGGTGTGAGTGATGAAGTCAGTCGCCTTGTGAGGGACGGCGCCGCATTGTGTGTCCATGAGCAGGTCGGGTAAGATGTCGCGGAAGAGGCCTCTCAGGAACTTGCTGTTGATCTTGCCAATAGTGTTGTTCAGGAGGATGCCCCTGTAGGCTTTCTGCAGATGAAGCTGTCCTTGTCTCCCCCCCCCTCCTCCTCCTCCTCCTCCTCCTCCTCCTCCTCCTCCTCCTCCTCCTCCTCCTCCTCCTCCTCCTCCTGGCCCTCCTCCGCCCCCTCGCGCGCCCCCCGCGCCCCTCGCCGTCGACGACGGCGGTGCCGGGCCTGCCGGGCGGCGGATATGTTCGGGTAAACGTGAGACTCGAGTCGGCCGGAACTCGGGTTAGGCGACGTTTTTGACGAGCGCGTCTTGGATTGTGACGGCCCAGTGTTCGGAGGACGTTTGCAGCGGGAACGCGCGTCAAACTTCAGATTGGGCCTCGTCACTCTTTTATGATGGCCCCGCCAGGCCAACCCGAGTCCCCCGTATCCGAGTCTTATCGGACGCTGGAACATATATATTACCAGTGGCGGGCAGCTTTTCCATCTAAGGACTTTTCGAGGGTCGGGGACGACGTCGGGGTGGTGTGATGTATACTTGCTGTTCCCGTTTCCCGAGAACAAGACGAAACATGTATACACCAGCACCCCGTATACACCAGGATTCGCTTTCTTGTGCAACTTTCAGTGCAGGGCCGGGAAAAACGTCGGTGTATAGAGTTCGGTCCCCGAAGGTAGAGGGGAACAATTCGTGGGCACTCCCCCGCCTCCCAAAGCTCAACGTCGGCACGCGCGGGGAAGGCTGCGGCCGAAGTGCAACCCGTCCGGCCCACCGCCAGGAGAAGGACGAGGAGGAGGAGGAGGAGGAGGAGGAGGAGGAGGATCCTCGAGGAGGAGGAGGAGGAGGAGGAGGAGGAGGCAGTGGACGCGTGCATGTGGCACTCCTCGTGTTCGCCACTTCCCCTCCGAGGCCTCCTCACCTCGCGCCTCCCCGCCCCCGCCCGTGCGGCGGCGGCGGCCGTGCGGGCGGGCAGTCACCCGCCGCGCGAGCACGAGCTGCCCGCCTCCTTCGACGGCGCGGCGGCGGCGCGGTGCCTGGACGGCGCGCCTCCGCCCGCCGCGCCTTTTCGCTCCCTCCTCATCGGCGGCCGCGGGGGCCGCTCGGGTTCCCCCCCCCCCGCCGCCGCTGCGCTGCCGGGCCTCCCCGGAGGCAGGGCTCTCTCCTCCTCCTCCTCCTCCTCCTCCTCCTCCTCCCTCCTCCTCCTCCTCATCTCTCTTACGCTCGTCTCCTCCTCCTCCTCCTCCTCCTCCTCCTCCTCCTCCTCCTCCTCGAGGCCCCCGCTTCGATTCGGTTCGGCGCCGATGGCTGCCGCTCCTGCTCGGGTTCGGCTCGGGGCCCCGGGCTGGGCCCCGAGGTCTCCTTGGGGGCGTGCCAGCCTGCCGATGTCCGCCGATTTTCGATGCCAGGAGGAGGATCGAGGAGGATCGAGGAGGAGGAGGAGGAGGAGGAGGAGGAGGATCGAGGAGGATCGAGGAGGATCGAGAAGGATCGAGGAGGATCGAGGGGGATCGATCCGCCTCGCTGCCAGGCCTCCCCAGGTACAGGTGGGTCCGAGTGCAGCGAAGGCGCCGCGGCAAGGGCCGCGTCGTCGCCGTGGCCTGCTTCACTGCTCCGCCGATGGGCGGGGGCGCCTGGCCTCCCCCCCTTCCCCGGGCCCCCATGGAGGCACCAGATCCCGGCTGTTTGTTCGGCGACTGGCCGGGGCCCCGTCCCCCAAATCTGCTGCGTGCGCGACCGGCAGCAGCAGGTCGACGCAGCACCAGCCCGGGCCCAGAACTCCCCCCCCTCTCCCCCACCCTGCGGGCCACATGCCGAAGCCCAAATCTGCTTCTGCGCGACTGGCAGCAGCAGGTCGACGCAGCACCAGCCCAGGCCCAGAACTCCCCCCCCCTCCCCCCACCCTGCGGGCCACATGTCGAAGCCCAGAGGGAAGAAACGCCTCCTCTGGGTTGGGAAGTAACTTTGGTCGTTCCGTGGTTGCTCCTCTGGCCCTCCTTGTACAGGGCAGGTTTTAATACATAGGATTTTCAATATATATATATATATATATATATATATATGTGTGTATATATACACACATATATATAAGAGCTTTTCTACACTATTAAGGTATGAATAAGTTGATGCATAAGTTCAGCCTTGCATTTACGAATCAACCCTTTATTTTTGATGCATGGTCCGCGCGCGGAGCATGCATTGGCGCGGTACGTCCTGGCCCTCCTGCTCGGTGCCAAAGGGGGGCCTCGCTCTCTGCCCAGCGCGTCCCTTCTTGCGGCAGCCCGGCTGACCGTAGGCAGGGGTCGAGGGACGGCGCCGCCTGTCGCCGATGCCGAGGCGTCGGCGATGTGCAGCCCGAGGTGGACCCCGATGCTCTCCACGCCGACGTCGCCGATGCCTCGGCGACGACGCCCACTCATCTCAGGAGGGGAAAAAACACACAGACACAATTAATCGTCGATTCCCCAGAAAATATGGGAAAATGTGGGCAGTGGGGGGGGGAGACAGAAACCCAGAAAATATGGGAAAATATGGGGGATCCTTTTATTTGTGTGTATTTATTTGTGTGTCCCGGGGCCCCTTTATCATCGCCCGTGCGTCTCCGATGCATGGCAGGTGCGTCTGCGATGCGGCGCGATCCTCCTGGCCCCAGTCGGCGGCGAGCGGGGAGGGGAAAGGAGAAGGAGAAGGAGAAGGCCCCCTCAGGAGGCGGCGGGGCTTCTCAGCAGCCCTCCGGCCTTCTGAGACGTGTGCTGTGCTGCGTCTTCGGGGAAGGCGTAGACAATGTTTTTTGGAGTCTGGGGGACTTCCGAGCCTTCTGAGAGGGCCCGCCCACTCTCACTTCCCCCCCCCCCCCTACGCGCGTCGCCGACCCGTCTACGCCGACCCCATCTGGGAGGCCTGCCTCGTCGTCGTCCCCCCCCCCCCTCCTCGCAGGGGAGAAGCGCAGGACTCGAGTACGCTGGAGCTCGGGCTTGCCGTCGCTCTTTGACGGGGCCCCGTCGTGGATCTTGATTGTCCGGTTTCCGTGGGGTGTCTGCAGCGGGAGTCCGCGTCGAACTTCAGACTGGGTCTCGTTTTGGATTTTGGCTGTGGGGTGTCTGGTTTTCGTGGGGTGTCTGGTTTTCGTGGGGTGTCTGGTTTTCGTGGGGTGTCTCGAATTTCAACCTCGTTTTCGTGGGGTGTCTGGTTTTCGTGAGGTGTCTGCTCGTTCTGGATTTTGGCTGTCAAGTTTTCGTGGGGCAGTGGGAGTTCGCGTCGAATTTCAGACTGGGTCTCGTCGTTTTGTCGAGGCCAACCCGACCCCACCGAAGCCGAGTCTCGCGTCTTCCCTGGTCCTCCGCGGCCCATCATTCCGCTGCGCTCCTTGGTGGGGCGCTGGGCGCAGGAGTTGCTGCAGAGGCGGGTGGTTCCGTTTCGGCTTCTTGCCGCTGGCGGGGTCGTCGTCGTTGTTTCTCGGGAGCCTTGAGACGGGGGTCAATGCAAACGGGGGTCAGCCAGGGCACCGGATCATGCAGGATCCTGCGAAGACCCCCTCTGGCTGACCCGGGTTAGCGAGCCGCTCGTGGCCGCGTTGCAGTTTGTTTTTCCTGCATTGCAGTTTTTGGTTTCCTGCTGACCCGGGTCTGGATTCACCCGGGTCAGAAGATCCCCGAGTTTCCCTTTCCGCTCCCTGTCTCCGGCCGGTTCTGGCATCGTGGGGCCTCCTTCCCATCAGCTTGAAGCCTGGCAGTTCTTCCACGATCCCCAACCTTCCTCGCACCGGATTCTCCCTCCCTCTGCCCCATCCTGCGCTCCCGGTCGTTGTTCTGCTTGTGCTTGTGCTTGTGCTTGTGTTTGTGTGTGCTCGTTCTCTCTCTCTCTCTCTCTCTTTCTCTCCCTTCCTCTCCAAATCTATCTTCCACCTGCCCCCTGCCCTCGTCGTCCCTCCTGCTCGCCGAGGCCGCTCGCCTGCTCCTGGGCTTCCCCGTGTTGCTCGTTGTTGGCTCGGCCGCGATCCTTGGACCCAGGCCGATCCAGAACTTCGATTCTTGATCCTCCCGTGTTTCCATCGCACTGCTTGGTGGTCATGCCCGCAGTTGCTCCTGCTTGGCAGTCGCACTCAGGCCACCCCTGGTTCGCCGATTCTCCCCGAAGCCGACCCCCGAGTGTCCTCACAATCCTCGATGCCATTTTTGCCCGCCGCGCCTCCTGATGACGGCCGTGCCTGTCTCGGATGGGCCCCGGCGCTGCCCTCCCCCCTTCGGCAGCATATGCGCTGTCCCGCGCCAACGGCCAGCGCACGGGCCCTCGGTGCCCGAGGCTCTGCATGCGCGCGACTCCACTCATGAGGCAAACTCTCTGCGGTTGATGATGGGCCTCTTTTCCACCACCACCACCATAAGTTGGAGGGGAGAGGAGGTGGTGGTGGTGGAGGAGGAGGAGGAGGAGGAGGAGGAGGAGGACCCCCTCCCCCTCCAACTTATGGTGGTGGTGGTGGTGGAAAACAGGCCCATCAGTGGAGGCCTCCTCCATTCCCTCCTCCTCCTCTGCCGCCGCCCTCGTCTCCTCCCCCCTTGCCTCCGCGACGCCAGCAGCGCGGCGCGCCCCGCTGGCCAGCGAACGCGTCAGCGGCCGCTGGCGCTGCGGGGTGGAAGATGTCACGGTCGCCTGCCCTTCTGTCGGGCGTGTCCCCCTACAGGGGGATTTTCGACGACAAATAAAAAATACCCCAAAAATGCCCCAGGAAGGTCAAAAAATAGGTAAAAAATAGTCCCCAGCTTATTTTTGTTTTCTTTTTTGATTATGTTGGGGGTATTTTTTATTTTTCGTCGAAAATCCCCCTGTAGGGGGACACGCCCGACATAAGCCTGCCCCTGCCCCCCCCCCTCCCGTCGCCGTCGTCCCGCCGCGCAGCCGGCGACGCCCACATCTGGGACGGCTTCGCCGACGAGGCCGAGGTCGTGGCCGCGCACGAGGCCCTGGAGGCGCGAGCGCCGCCGTGCTCGCTCCTCCTCCCTCGCCTCCTCCTTCCCCGCCGCCTCCTCCCTCCCTCCCTCCCTCCCTCCCTCTCTCCCTTCTCTTCTCTCCTCCTCCTCCTCCTCCTCCTCCTCCTCCTCCTCCTCCTCCTCCTCCTCCTCTACGCTGGGCTCCTGCTTTCCCTCCTCCTCCTCCTCCTCCTCCTCCTCCTCCTCCTCCTCCTCCTCCTTCTCCTCCCTCTCCTCCCTCTCCTCCCTCTCCTCCCCCGTCCCCTCCTCCTCCTGCTGGACGGCGGCCGCGGAAGGCATTTGGGATCTGCCGCCTCTCTTTGTGGGCAGTGCTGGCGGTCGCGGGCGCGTCTGCGAGGCCGGCGTGCCGCGCGGGGCGCTCGGCACACGCAGGGCCGAAGCCGGCGCCTCGCTTACAGGGCAGCCTCGCGGGCCGCCCAGGTCTGGGCGGGCAGCCTGGAGCGCCCGCACCCACGGCGGACCCCGCCCGGGGTGCCCAGGTGCCCCTTTTTTATTTCTATTTTGTTGTAACAACAGCAAACCATTAAAATAAAAATATTACTAATAATGATAATACTAGTAATAATACTACTAATAATAATAATGATGATGATGATACCAATAATAATATTAATAATATTAATAATACTAATAATAATACGAATAATAATAATAACAATCATAATAGTAATAATAATATTAATAATAATGATAATAATAATAATAATAATAAAAACATTATTCATAATAGTACTAATAAACATGTATGTCGCGATGAGGAGTTTCTTTCTGGAAGCTGTTAAGTAAAGCTGTGCGCGGCCCGCTTAGCTTCGACCGGAAGAGGCTCGCGCTCGACCCGCGGACCAAAAGATGTTTCTTTTGGAAGCAGAAGGTGGTGGACACCCCAACGCGCACAAACCATTTCGTCTGGGAGCCGAGGCTGTTGGTTACCCGAGCGCGCAAACGGCCCGAGACATTCCCACGATCTGGGCGCGAGCCCTAGAGTGTCCTCACCCACGGCGCCCCCCCCCCCCCTGGGGTGCCCAATTGCCAATTGCTACGCCTGGGACATCGCGGTAAGCAGTCTGCTCTTGAAACAGAGGATGTTGGGCACCCAGACACGCAAATCGCCTACGACATCACCACATTTCGGGCGCGACTCTGGGAGTGTCCTCACTCACGGCGGCCCCCCCTTGGGATGCCCAAGGGCCACGCCTGCTTCATCGCGGTGAGCAGTGGCCCGAGTGAGCCTGAGCACGAGTGAGTCTGAGTACGACTGAGTCTGACTGCGAGTGAGCCGGAGTGCGTCTGAGCGTGATTGAGTCTGAGCGTGAGTGAGTCCGAGTCTGAGTAGGAAGTGGGTGCGTGAGGGAGGCGGGTGTGAGGTGAGGTGGGGACGTGCGAGGGATAACAAGAGCCCCGTGTTAGAAGATGAGGGGACATCGGCCGTCATGCTTCTCCCGTCTCCTGTTGCGTGACAGCACCATGGTACCATGCGTGGATGATCGCGAACGTCGTGATAATGAGACATGCAGCAGTATGGATACACATCTACACGTCGACGAAGTATTGCCCGCTTCCCGAGCTTTATCTAAGACGCCTACGGCGAATCACAGCCGCCCCCTGCCTTTTTGGAAGCGCCTATGTGGCCGAACGTTGAGGCCAGACCTGCCAAGCTATCGGACCATGTGTTCCCCGAGTCGGTTTGGAAAGCCTTCGGGGAACACGTGCGCATCTGGAAAGTCATCTTGGCCGTCTGGAAGCCATTTTGACCCTTTCGGGCCTTCTTGGAAGACGTCTTGGAGGGCTCTTGGGCCGTCTTGGAGGCCATCTTGAGCGACTTGGAGGCCTCTTGGGCCGTCTTGGGGGCCTCTGGAGGCCGTCGTGGGCCTCTTGGGCGATCTTTGGGGGCACTTGGGCCGTCTCGGGCCGTCGGAAGGCCGAGAAGAAGCAAATGCCACAATCCTTCAAAAACTCATTGGAAATCAATGATTTTGGCCTTTTCGGCCCTTCCTGGAGGCCCTCTTGGAAGCCTATTGGGCCGTCTTGGGCCATCTTAGGGCCATCTTCGGACGTTTGGTGGGCTCCTGGCCCGTCCGACGCCGTCGGAAGCCGTTTGGGGGCCCCCTCTGGCCCTCTTGGAATGCTCAAGGGCCGTCTTGGAGGCCATCTTGGGCGTCTTCAAAGCCTCCTCGGCCGTCTTGGGGGCCTCTTGGGGCCGTCTTGGGGGCCTCTTGGGCCTTTGGGGCCATCTTGGAGGCCTCTTGGGCGATCTTTGGGCGATCTTTGGGGGCACTTGGGCCGTCTCGGGCCGTCGGAAGGCCGAGAAGAAGCACATGCCACAATCCTTCAAAAACTCATTGGAAATCAATGATTTTGGCCTTTTCGGCCCTTCCTGGAGGCCCTCTTGGAGGCCCGTCTTGGGCCAGCTTCGAGCCAACTTCGGCCATCTTGGTGGGCTCCTGGGCCGTTTGACGCCGTCGGAAGCCGTTTGGGGGGCCTCTCTGGGCCGACTTGAGGCCCTCTTGGAATGCACCAGTGCCGTCTTGGAGGCCATCTTGGGCGTCTTGGACGCTTCCTGGGCCGTCTTGGGGCCCTCTTGGGGCCGTCTTGGGGGCCTCTTGGGCCGTCCTGGGGCCATCTTGGAGGCCTCTTGGGCGATCTTGGGGCGACATTGGGGGCCTCTTGGGCGTCGTGGGCCGTCGGAAAGCCGAAACGGCGCAAATGCCAAAATCCTTCAAAACCTTTTAAGGAAATCAATGATTTTGGCCTGTTCGGGCCCTCCTGAAGGACTTCTTGGGGGCCTCGTGGGCCGTATCGGAGGCTTCTTGGGCGCCTCTGAGGCCGTCTTGGGCCATTTTGATGCCATCCTAGGCCGTCTTGGGTGCATCTAGGCTCGTCTTGGAGGCATCTTGCAGCCATCTAAGCCGTCTTGGAGGCCATCTCGGCCGTCTTGGATGCATCTTGGAGGCCATGTTGGGCCGTCTTGAAGCCATCCGGAGAGAACAATCCTTTGCAACCGGGTCCGGGCAATCCTCCCAGGACCCCGGCGGGACGGGCCGAAGCCGCAGGGGGAGTTGTTTTGGAAAAGATCCAAAACCAAAACCGTAATAATTTGGCACGCCAGGCACCCCTGCGATGAATCGACAGGGGGCGGCGGATCTAAAATGGCCTTCGGCCCATCCTGCCACCGTGCCTGTGTTGTGGGTCTGAGGTTTCTTGGATGGTCGTTGGGATCGCGCCGATGCCTGTCAGGGGCCTCCTGGAGGCAGTTTTGAAGCCCCTTGGGGTGCTGTTTGGGGGCCTCTTCTTGGGCCGTCTTGGCGCCCTCTTGGGGCCTCTTCGAAGCCCTTTGAGTCCTCCTGGGGGCTTCTTGGAACGGAAGGCTCGAATTGTCGGTTCGTGTTCCCCCTCGTGGGCGGCTCCTCTTGGGGCCCTCGTGGGCCGTCTTGGCAACCTCTTGGGTTGTCTGAGGGGCCTCTTGGGCCGTTTGGTGAGCATCGTGGCGGCCATCTGGGCCGTCTTAAGGTCGTCTTGTGGTCCCCTTGGGCCGTCTTGCAGCGACGGGTGTTCGAAAAAGCGAGAACCCCCAAATGCGTCAAAAACCTTAGGAGAATCAATGATGCTAGCTTCTGGAGGCCCTCTTGGGAGGCCTCTAGGGCCTAGGGGCCTCTTGGGAGCCTCTTGGGCGTCTCTTGGGGCCTCTTGGGGGCTCTTAGACGCTCCTTGGGGCTCCCCGGGAGCCTTGGAGCAGAAGGCTCACATCTTCGATTCGTGCCCCCCTCTTGTGCCCTTCTTAGGACCGTCTTGGGGCCGTCTTGGGCGCTTCTTGGGCCGTCTTGGCTCCCTCTTGTGCCGTCTTAGGGCCCTCTTGCGGGCGTCTTCGTCTGTCTTGGGGCGGTCTTGGGGGCCTCTTGGGCCGTCTTGGAGCGTCGGAGAGCCGGAAAGTCGAGAACGCCAAGATCTTGCAAACACCCCCGGACATTATATGATTTTGGTATTTTTGGGCCCTCTTTGGACGCTGGAGCGTCTTGGGGGCCTCTTGGGTTGCCATGGGCCATCTTGGACGTCTTGGAGCGGTCGTGCGGCGATTCGACACCCTCTTAGACCGATTTCGGGGCCTCTCGGGGCCCTTTAGGCCCGTCTTGGGGCCCTCACGGGCCCGAACAGCTCATGCAGGGCTGAGGCTCAGGGCATTCGACAAAGGACCTGAGGACACGCCCTCTCTGTGCCTAAAGGCACGGTGGTCACCACCCACCAGAACTGCCCCAACCCAGCCCGAAGGCCTCAATTTGCCCTCCATGTTCGGTGGGGGGGAGGCCGGGGAACATTGAAACACACATGGACCCCGTACCCCCCCCAACCCGAAATCCGGGTCTTCGGGTTGGGTTGGGGTGGTCTGGTAGGTAGTCAGGTGGCGGATCATAGTTGTGCGAAACACCTACTTTTTCGCACTGACGTCTTCGTAATCTGGCTGCCTGGAGCAGCGGCGCAATACATGGATCTAGTTCATCCCCAGAACAATTGCGTCTATAGCGGAGTTCGCTGCAGCAGCGAGCGAGCAGCAAATGTGTCATACACTTGATGGAGTTTCAAGGACCAGAGTGATTCCACCTGTCCATGTTTCTTATGTTTCAAGGTTCTAAGGGAACACGGGATCATTCAAGTTTTATGCCAGCGCTTTGCCAAGAACACTCATGTACCGGATTTGCGCAACGTGCATTTGAAACATGTTGATGTTCGCCGGTGGGGAAGATATTTCCGCCGTGGCGAGTGCTGCTACTGCCTGGAAACACAAGTGCCGAAAACCAGGCATGCCTCCATTGGATTGCGAAAGAAATCCAGGCGGTTCGTGATTGAGGGGCCAAGGGTGAAGCGGCCTTCGGCGTTCCACAAATAGTAGTCTTTTGGTTGAGCTCGGTCTACGAGCCAAGTTGTTGTTGTTTTCATTGCCGCCCCCGAGAATTTCAAATTGTCGCTGGTTGGATACTGGGCTGGGG